AAATGCTTGATGGATATCTAAATGTAAAAGTAAATCCTAAAAGGTCTTATCCATTCCCTTATAAATTCCTATTCACACATAAATTATATGGGAAAAAATCCCATATATGTCTCTATAAAATACAAAAATATGAAAAAAAGAAAAAGAAGAAATTACAATAAGAAAAGAGAGAAATCTTGCTACAAATTCTTATATCAAATGAACCCTTCTAGGATCAGTAACATTTATTTTCCAATGCTCATCACTGAACTCACTCTTTCTAGCCATTTTTCTATCCCAGTCCAACTCAATTTTTCTCCGCTTTGTTAACCCACAAAACTTTTGCAACTTCTCATCCATGGCATCGTGAAATTTCCACCACCTCTGATGTGCTACATCACTTGCGTAAACACGTTGATCTCCTATATTCCAGTTACAATCATAGTCTCTGTAACAAAGCCAAGGCTTTAACCCCAGATAATGTATGGAATAAACTTTTGGCGGGTCTGCCCCAAAGAGCTCGTTCTTGACACTAGCCTCATTGGTAGTGTTAGCCCAGAAGTTTTTCAAGAAGTTCACTCTTCTTGGTAATCTATGCCACCATACAAAAACTTCATTAAGGAACCCTTGATCACCTCCATTGTAGGAAATAATCTCCTTGCGTCGGTCCATTAATATTTTGAATGTGCAATTTGATGGCTCAATGACCATGATACCAGAATTAAAAATCCATACATCGTTCCCCGTAGCTGACATTTGAGGGAAGTGAAAAAGGATATCAAGGTTACGCAAAACTATGATGTCCGCATCTATGAAGACGATCTTGTCATAATCAGTGAGCTGCCACAGCCTAAACTTGCTATAGTTGTACTCATTGTAGGAGTATTTTTCAGCTCTAGGGTTTCGGATTCTTTTGATGAGTCGGATCTTCCATCCGGCTGCTGCAAGAGCATGACGTTTGGGTTCAGAGATGGAATTATCTAGGAGAAGAACAAGGTCACGCTTGGTCCCCGTTTGGAGAAGGCTTTGGGCAAGGGCTATGACACCACAGACGTAGGCTTCTGAGGAATGGAGTACCGTGGCATAGGCCTCTCGTCTGGTAGTTCTTGTTGTCCTTTGAATCTTGGAGAGATCGTAGACTTCGTTAATTCCTGCAAGTAAAAAACGATTTATCATAGAGTTAATTAGCCAATAAATACAATTAAGAAATAATAGCTTCGGCTCCACTATATATACTTTAAGGCAACTAAAACACAACTACCACATCACTATCTTATAATTCACCAAACAAGAATATTTTTCTAGCAAGTTGTTGGCACGTCCACATGGCGCCTACCCAGCTGCCAATATAACTAAAAAAATATTTGCATGTCGTTGCACTATATATCTAGCCATTGTGATTTCATTTCTTCGGTTGACAACAGGCTTAACTTTCCTTATTGGATCTTTATTTCAAAAGCACTGAAGAGCATCGATGCGTCTGTAGCTCAGTGGATAGAGCGTCTGTTTCCTAAGCAGAAAGTCGTAGGTTCGACCCCTACCTGACGCGTCATCATCAATATTCTTTCCTTTAAACGAACCCGGGTTTTGTTCGGAAGATTAACACGACCCAATCATGACACCTGGTCAGGTCAGGTTTTGTGTCGCATATAGCTGAGAGTTGGTCCCGTTAATTTAGTGAATGAACTTGCAACTTGATTAAAATTCAAGTAAAATCTACTTTTAGCTATTTAAAAAAAAATAAAAACTAACATCAACATTTTAATTTTAATTTTTTTTGAAATGATATTGATTTGAATTCACAGGTGCAACCAGGGACTTACAGTGATTATGAGTCAGGCCATATTTTATCACTTCGTCTGGAAGCATTCATACATGAAAAGTCAAGGAAAGCATCGCTTGATACGAGGACTGTTTTAGGAGCAAAACATACCTTGTGTCCACAGAGGCAAAGCCAGTTTGCAAGACCCAATAGGCAACGAGACCTTCTGTTCCAACTTTGTCATCTCCGTCTCATAGAACCACCAATCACCTTCCTGTTTTACCAAATCATCGCACCTAAACAACTCCAACATTGGTCGGCATTTGCTCCAAAATACCACCTTGGTCCTCCAATTCCAATCCCTCCTACCCTTTTTCACAACCAAATTCGCTGCTATGAGGTGAACTTGGAGCCTAAACACCTCTCTATTCCATCCTTCTTCAGGATACTTGCATGGTAGTTTTGCCACTACCAAGTCCAGGTTGTCATAGACTTCGAAATCTGGCATTGGTATTTCTGGACAGGATGGAACATCCGTTTCTTCCTCCTCGTCAATCCATTCAGGAAACAAGTCCGGCCACTTGAAAAACTCAGACACCTTTTCAAAACCGATAGGTATAGTCTCTCCATGAGCTTTCCAGCCGGTAACATCATCTTCATCCATATTCACCATGCCGATCTTCTTTCCCTTTCCCATCCCATTCATGAAGCTCGGTACCTCAACCTTGGTCATATTTCTTCGAGCATTAGCTTTCGTCTCTTCCACGATTGCCTTCACCCCACTCCCTTTTTCTGCCTACAAATTTCAAGTTTAACCAAATGGGAAATGAAAAAAAAACGCATGGCTTTAATCGACATCCTCAAACTTCTACAACACAAGTATGAATTAATTTGTCAAGGCTCACCTTACCTTGTGATGGCACTCTCTCAATGAGCACTTAACGAGAGATGCTGCATTCTCAAAATAGACTGAAGAAGATGGCGAGAGAAGAAGGGATGCATAGAAAACAAGAAAGAAAGCAAGGAAAACCAAATTGATTCTGATAACCAAAGCTTTTGAAGGTGTAGTCTTCATTAGCTTTTGAAGGTGTAGTCCCTCAGCCATCTTTGAGAAAAAAATGATGTACCTCAAAAGGGGGCCTTCGTATATATATCCCAACTACCTCCCCTAGCTTTTGATTATTAGCAGATTTTAGGACTCCAGATGATATATGGATGTCGTGGTTAGAGGAGTTGGAGAGCGAAATTAGAGTAAAACTCAAAGGATGAATGGCCATTTATGCAGCCCCACGTGTCAATTAGTGCTTTGGGTTTTCTTGCCTTGAGGACAAACTAGCCGGATCACATTAAACTATGCTTCTTTGGCATGCTGTTGGTGCAAATAATTCTAGATCATCTCCTCAAAATCCCGAATATGCCCCTTTGCCCTCGTCATTCTGTTCATCCATCCATATCTATCAACCAAATACAGATGTGGCTCCCAGCTTTCTGACCTCTCAACTTTAAAACTAAAATGGCCATTGTCTAATTAACTTTCTAAGCTACGTTAATTTCTGGGTTTTCCCTTGGTGAGAATACGATGGGGATATTGCTGCATCTTCCTCCGAAAGAATGCAGGGCTCCAATTTTATATGATTGTAAGTTTCTTAAACCTGTGGACCACTAGTCCACCCAGAATTTAATCGACGCAGCTTAGGTTAGCTTTTACAAAAATAAAATAGAGTTGACGAGGTATATCCAATCAAAAACTTGGATTGATACACTATTCAATTGACCTGTTTATTTAATTTTTTTTCTTCAAAATAGTATCATTTTTAACTTAGTTTTTTTTTCTAGGTTAATTTACTTAATTTATAAACCAAGTCTTGTAGCAAGTAGATTATAGATCGCTGTAACATAAGAAAAAAATTACAGGTAGGGGTCGGGAAAGTAATTTCAGAAACGTGGGATTCTCAGAATTAGCAACCAAGCAGCCCCAACAACTCTTTGGTTGCCCTGTCAACGTCTGACATGCAATAAATTGTCGTTTTTGTCTTCTGTCCGTTATGAATTTCTCTCTCTTTATTAATATATTGTCCAAATCATTATAGCAGAAAAAGGCTTAGGTCAGATATCAGCATTCCACAACTCATTAAAAGGATTTCAGATCATGTTTAACACGAACACGAGCCGAGCATGGTTAAACCATCACAATTCCGCCTCGTCAATCTACAAAGACAACGAGACCATCCGAGATCGTGAACTTAAAAAATATTAGGCAGATGACCTATTAATTCACTAGCTCATGATTGAGAGGAAGGATCATCCCATATTTCATAGATCCATGGCCGATGACGCCGAGACAGAGGAAGAAAATCCCAGTCGTTTTTACTCCCTGTTTAATACTTGCTGACTTGAGAATGCATTTTAAAATTCAAATTAGAAACAGCCGCTTCTTGTTGAAAAGATAAATCATTGCTAATGATTAGCATTCCATGATAAAAACAAAAACATAATTAGTTAGAAAAACAGAGATAAAACATGAAAATAAATCTATCACCAAAATAATTTTAGAATGAATTTCTATCATTTCAATCCCGATCGTCTCCGTTTCTTCTACCCTGAAACAATAATCAATGGCTAAATCACAGGACTCGTTAAATAACAAGATCCCTCCATTCAGATCACTCATCCATTTTATATAACATTGATGCACCTTTTCGCAGCTGGTATTCCAAAAGATGTAATTATATGCGGGTAAATCAATGCTCTTAGTGATTTGTAACTCATCTTGGTTTAAGCATTGGCAAATATATTATTGTTACCTAACGACGGAGGATTCCATAATATTAATTTGGTTTTTAAAATAAGAACCACCGTCCAATCCAACACATGGACATGGTTATCATATAGCAGTTGAAGAGTAATCAAATCTAATATTCATTATGGCAGTACTTGCCAACAAATCATGATGTAGTAGTTGAAAGGCAATTTGTAAACCGCAAGATAGCAAAATCAAAAGGAAAGCTGAACATATCAACCTACGATCTGTTAATTTCCTCAAATTAAAAAAAATAAAAATCCATGCTGAATATATAATGAAATGTATACTCAATCCTGCTCCATTTTGAAACCGAAATCGAACAACCAATTTATTGTTAAGGAGAGGGAAAAATGGGGAAAAAGGAAGAATAACTTTCCACATCAAACATCTCCAGAAGGAACCATTACAAGTAAAATTGTTTGGAAATTACCAGATCCTTATCATGCGTTAAATTGGTTGTGGTAGTTGAAAGCCATTTCCATTTCATAAAGTGATAAAAAATAATAGTCAGCTGATAATTTTCAGTTATCGGAACCATCAAACTGTACAGGCAATGCCTTAAGTTCCTCTAAGTTGAGCTCACCTCTTTTACCGAATTGAATGTTTGCTGGTCCATTCTTTCATGTTATTCTTCTATCAAAGTGAAATGAATCCCTTCGTTGCTTCCCAAGCTACTCTAGACCACATCTATGAAAAACAATTTTACATGGTGAAACTTAGTATCTACTTGTCTCGTGCAAAAAGAAAGGGGCAATGAGGGAAAATAAATGAATAGCTATAATTGCCAACCTGCTTCACAAAGATCATGAGCACGGAAGATGCGAATCCCTGCTGCTTGTTGATATCCCTTCTTAAAGTCAGCCAGAACAATGAATGCAATGCATCATGCCTTAGTTATCTCCTGAATGTGTTGAGAATGGCTTTTACCCGGTGGAATGAAAATCAGATCTTCCCAGCCAGAATTCTTCTCACTAATCTGTATTAGATCAAAGAGAAGTAAACTGAATTCCAATTTCTTGTTATCAGATGTGTGCTTGATGCAAAATTTAAACCCATTACCTCCATTTTTTTCAGAACATCCTCTAAACTTCCAACCTGTTAAAAAATAAACCGAACAGTGGTATATGCACAAAGTCAATGTCAGCTATAATACATTTTCAGTAAGAAAATATGCTTTAGCAAATGTCATGCCTACAAAAAGAAAAACATATGGTTAAAAAGAATCATACCATAATATGTTGAGAAAGACTGGGACCCCTTGATGCTCTTGAAACCTTTGACAGTTCTTTTTCTATATCTTCCTGCATTTGCAGGAGGCAAATAGCTGGTAATCTGTGTACTCGTAGCTCAATCTCACAAAAGATGCATGCTGAAAATCCTAATGGCATCCCAAGGAGGGAGTTTGATGGATCAAACATACCTTTTGAAAATATACTGGGCAGTATCTCTTGCTTTTCTTCTTCACAACCAGTTGGTCCGACTGCAGACACAGATTTCATGAGAAAACAGTGTTTTGGCACAATATTCCCAGAAGACATTTGGAAGTTTATTCTCCTAGTTGACTCCTGTACTTAAATCACAGCAAATGATATACTAAAACATTGCTGCTGGGGCACCATTTGATAATTTATGTATCTTTACTTCCCCCCAAAAGTAACAATCTGCAGTTAATGGCTGCAACAGATGACTAACATATTTGAAATTGTTTGCATGTATTTCAATAAATGAATTACAGTTGTGCCCAGGTACAGACAGTCAAATACAGAAACATAGGGGAAAGAATAATCCCCATACTTTTGTCTTTTGTCACCAGTAATATGTATAATATGGTGAAGAAAATCAATTCATGAAAGATACAAGATTATTTATTTATTTTGTAAAAACAGATTATTTATTTATTTGCTTTGATAGTTACTTATGCAGTAACTTTCTGATACCTCAAAAGATTCCATGATCAATGTAGAAAAAGAAGAAAAATAAAAACATTCTAGCTAATAAAACCAATCAAAGACTCACTCAAATCAAACTGCTATTCCCTGAAGAAAGTCCAAACACTTCTTATCTTCCACTCAAATGGCAAGACTAACTTCACAGATAAAATGATAAGTTAAACCCAATATTGTATGCATTTGCAAACACCTGAACATCTTAGCCAACTATCTAATGCATTTACAGGCTGCTTGGAAACTTAGATTTTAGTAGAAATGAAATCATTTCAGAACCATCTACCTAATTCTAGTGTTTAGAAAGCTTTAAGCAACATAAATGAATTCTACAACCAAGTAAAATTAGAGATTTTTATAAATTTGCAAATCATGCTGGGGCATGATATGCTTCAAAATTGGCTCATTAAAAATTCATCCCAGTAAACACCCTTCTCACTTCCCCTCCTCTCTCACACATGCTTCGAATAAGTTTTTAGAAATGAGGGCAAGTTGGGTAAATGATGTATTTTTGCTAACTAAAGTCAAATGAACTCCACAATTTAAAAACCTATTCAAAACAAAAAAATCCAATTAGCAAATCAAACCAGCTCAACCTACTTAAATAGTTGAAATCAATTATAGCATAGAATTATTTTCAAACAAGCTGCAAAAGTAGCAGGTATTGATTTAAATCAATTCCATCCAAAGGCCTGTTTAGACATGCTTCTAGTTTCAGAGAAACATGGATAGCTTACAAGTACAACCAGTCAGATAGCATACCTGGAAAACAGGAACTCCATCAAACCCACTCCTGACATCAGCAGCTTTGAGCTGATAAACATGAAAGATATTATTGAGAATTAGTTTAATGCAGTTCGGCTTGTACATGCATGCCAACATGTGGCCTTTCATGTTAAAACAATGTGATTGAAATTTCAAATTGCTACCCTACTCATTAAAGCTTCCCCTTCCTAGAAGCCCAGAACCCACATGAAAAGTAAACCCCATCCATACTTTCTTATTACTGAACAACAAGCACTACTTCTGCTTCTCTTTGACTCCCAAAATCCTTAAATCAAGAACATAAAAGGACCTAAGCAATATAAATGGAAGTCGTATGCTGAATAGTGAATACACTTCTCTTGACAAGCATTATCATCCAATGCCCGTCAGAATTCACAAGATTTCCACACCATGACAAACTCAGAAAATCACTTGAACCTGCAACTTCAAAAATGTTACACTATAAAACGACATAAAAAACTGAAAGTTCATATGAAATGATTTACTCATTTGTAGAAACAAAGATATGCAGTCAATGCTTTCATTCTGAATGAAGAACATAGTCTTTGCAGCATTACATGGCTAAAAGCCTCCTTAACTTTCCCTTTTGATATTGTTTTTTCTTCCATGTTAACAAGCAATACTTTAATAACCACCTCATCAGAACCAACCTCTAATGCATTCTTTATTTGAACTGGATCAGGTAAAAACCGAAACGCAATTCCTTCAACCTTCAGCATGTACACCTACAAGATTTATAAGAGGAAAATATGAAAATAGCATCAACCAAATTATACGATTTAGCACTCAAACGTAAGACAAACCACACTGTAGCTTTCGTTCAACTAACTGCAGGAAGGATTAAATTTTGAATAAATCAGTCATTACAATTTTCCCAGTTTTATACTAGTTAAAAATTATACACGCCAAATTCCATCAACTGGAGCTAGAAATTTACCTGGTCAAGTGTAATAGGCACCACCTTAGCTTGGCTTCGCAATTCTCTTCTCCGCAACCTAACCTGAATTAAAAGAAAAAATTTACCACCAGAAAATAGACAATGCACGCGTATGTATGTGCAACTGTATAGAAATACAATACCTGAGCAAGAAATGCCTCAGCGTCTTCTTGTCGAAAGCAAAGCAAGCCAATGGACTTAGCTCCATTAGGATCCGAGATAAGCACGAACTCATTGTCAGAATTGCTCACTGTGTAAACGGCTGTTCCTACCAGAGCTTTCGCCACGTGTTCCGAGCTGAGATTGGCGGTGTTAGCTGTTTGTTTCGGCTGCGATACGGAGGCGAACGGCGGCGATGGCGCCAGACGGAGCCGGCTAGGTGGAGGGAAGTTGCCAGATAGGAATCGAGTGGTGTCGCTGACGCGAGCTGAGAATTCGGCACCGAGACGGAGGCAGTGTTGGTGGATGACTGTTGATAGAGATAAGAGAGGGTTTGAGGGTTTAGAGGGTTCCATATTTTTTTGAAGTGGAGAGAGGGCAACGAGTTGATGTGAGTTTGATCTTTTAAGTCTCCTGAGAAATCGAGTGTTGTCAGATCTGGAGGCGCTGGTCGTTCGTTTCACTGTACGAGTTGGAAATTAATATTGGGCCTCACCCATATGACAGGCGGCCCATCACCTAAAACTTTTGAGCTGGAACAGAAATATTTTCAAAGTTTTTTTTTTTGAAAAACTAAAACTTTTGGGTTTCAACACATTTAATTATTTAAGATAAAAAATATTTATTATTATTTTAATTTTTAAACTTCAACTTGTTTATTATTTCAATTTTAATATGTTTTGTATTTTATTGAAATGTTTTACTAAGAAGAGAAATTGAAATCTTTAAATATTTTATGTTAATATTTTAAATGAAAATGGATAAATTGATACAGATCAAATTTCTATAATAAAATTGAGACACCGAATAAACCTAAAGGGCCAAATCCAAATCTACCCAACTGTTGACTTTGATAAAAACAATTCAAATACATGAAAGGAATCAAGTTAGGTTACAGCAGGCCTGAGTTGCTTGAGTGCTCATGGATCGTATTCGCTTTGCTGGGCTTCACCTTAGCGTTCAAGAGTTTTTTTAACTAGCCCAAGTATATATATCAAGAAGAAATTTAGGTGCATCATTGAGTTTCTTATTCTAATTTTAAATAAATTAATATCTATTTTCACTTTGTTTCTCATTAACAAGGAGGGCAGATCATTTTTTTCCCTGTAGCATTTTTTTCTTTTTTTCTTTCCTTTTATCATTTTCTTTCCTTTTATTTTTTAGTTTCCTTGTTTCAACATGTGTCGATTAGAAATTGGATTTTATTATTTATCATGTTCTAGGGAGAATATCCTGATATTACATCAATACTAAATTTTATCATCGTTTATTTTTTATTGATTGATTTATTTTAATTTATTTTTTAAAAAATTATCGAGATCTTAAAAAAATATATCATAATTGAATTGATGTTTTTTGAGCATCTATTTTTTTTACCACATGATTAATTATAAAAGATTCAAGTAAAAAAAAAATAATTAATGAGAATTAGATTTTATAATTTTTTTATTTATTTTTTATAAGGTTATTGTAATCTAAATATAGTTATGGTATTGAGTTGGTATTTGATTTTATAAACATCTATTTTTTATTATATAATTAAAAAATAGTTAAAAAATAAAATTATTAAACTTAATAAAATTAATGATATAGGTTGTTGCTTTAACGTATTAACTATCTCAATATTTTTTTTAAAAAAAGATGTTTGTTAAAAATATTTTTAAAATTAAATAATATTTTTATCAATTAAATAAGTTTTTTTTAGTTTATAAAGTTGAGCAAATCATACTAGAAAAGTTTTTATATAATTTAATTTGATGTTTTAACTGAATATTGTTTTTTTACGTGTAAGAAAATTTTGGTTCAGCGAAAACACAGGACGGGAAATTGTCTTGTTTAATCTGCGAATGGGTTAGATTTTTAATCCAGAGAAATTCCTCTTTAGTTTATAAAATTGATCAAATCATACTAGAAAAGCTTTTATATAATTTAATTTGATGTTTGAACTGAATATTGTTTTTTTTACGTGTAAGAAAATTTTGGTTCAGCGAAAACACAGGACGGGAAATTGTCTTGTTTAATCTGCGAATGGGTTAGATTTTTAATCCAGAGAAATTCCTCTTATTACTTGATCTCAGGTTATAAAAGATATTTGTTTCTCCTTTTATTTTTCGTTTGTGATCTGACAACTCTAAGCAAAAAAAAAATTAAAAAGAAAAATATTTGTAATTTATAAAAAAATATTAAGGAATATATAGGTTATAAAGGCATGTTAAAAAAGAATAAAAGAAGTTCGAAAAACATTTTAATTAATTAATCAAAAATTTAGCGTATAACCGTCCAAGAAACTTGTCGGGGTGCAAGATTACGTTTAAAATTGCATTGGCTTTGAATCTTCCACCATGTTGTTTCAGGTGGACATGTCTTTGGTTTCCAAGAATATTAATTATCAGGTCTCGTATTCCGTCGGTTGAGGATCCACCAGACTTCCCGGTGGTGTTCACTGGTCCATACCATGCCACATGTTTATACGAGGATCTATCCACTTTAGGTATCTTCAAAGTTATGTTTGTTAATATCTTGGAAGAAAAGTTTGTAGGGTGGGAGAAGCAAAGATAAATTATGTCCGTATAACAAAAATAATATAAATTATATTTTGATATTTTATTTAAAATTTAAAATAATTATATTAAAATAATTTTTTTAAAATAACATTATAATTTTAATAATTTTATAATTATAAATTTAAATCTTATCATTTATAAAATTTTATCTAATAATTTATATTATTAAGTTGAGATGGTTATTTTATAGTTTAGTAAATTTTTATTTTTTTTTAAATAAAAGGTAATCCTTTCTGTTTTGAAACAATAAACTCTATTTAATTAATTGATAATTATGTTGCCTTGACGTCGAATTGCAAAAATAATGTCAAATTATTATCAATACAATTTAAAAACTCGAGGTGGAAATATTATTCAAATGAACAGTGAACTGCCCACGTTTTTCCTTTCATTTCACCTTTTTTTTTTTTTAATAAAGTTTTTTTTTTAATAAAGTATAATACCCACTTATTAGATTTCAGAATCCTTCAACTCAAGTTGACTTTACATGGAGCTTTGATTTGTATTAGATCTCAGAATCCTTCAACTCTCACTCGAGTTGCACTGTTATAGTCAGTTGCGAGCTACACTACAAACATAAAATACAAATTAACTAAATTAAGTAAAGTAATCAGTTTTTTTTTTTTTGGAAAAGAAGACAGCAACAATAGGTTATATATAGTAGCAAAAGAATGTGTGATATAACAAGTTATTGAAAGATCAAGGCTTTGAAGAAATCACGCTGTCATAGAACATATACACAGCTCCTGCATAGGCAGAAGAAGCCTTTTGGATAATTATGTAACGGAGAGAAGCGGCTTCAAAAGAAACCTTGGGAAAATGGTCATCCAACTAATTGAGTTTAGCCGCATAGCCAGTTCAAGGTCAATGATAGCCTTCAGTAAAACTATAAATGAAGTTTTTTAAGAAATATTTTTCATTATTATTTTATATATGTTTGATAAGTAAGATCTCACATAATTTTCATTTTTTAATTGGGAGCTTTTTGTTAAGTGGAGATATTTTTTTTATAAAGTATAGTTAACAAATATATCTTATTTATTATTGGGTTCTTTTGTTAAATGAAGTTCTTGGACATTGCTCAAGTAGCTATGAGCTTAAGCCAGCTTTGTCTAGCAATATGAGGTATTTGAGAATAAAAATATCGGGTTCTTCATAGTTCAGGTCTAATATGCTTATCCATATCCATTGTATAACTAGAAATTCATTTATAATAAAACTTTTTAAAGACAAATCACCATAAATTTCACTTCAAAACATGAACTTATAGATAGATATCCATAATTTATTTGCTAATGTTTGGTTATTTTTTGGAGAAAAAAGGGAAATAAATAATATTGGAGATAAAGAGGACGTGTTTTTTTTAAAAAAAAATATATAAAAATTTACTCCAAGATTATCTTAAAAATATATTTATTTTTTATTTTGATCTCAATTTCTTCAACCAAACATATTTTTATATTTTTTTTAAATCTGTTTATTTTATTTTGAAACATTAACCAAATACCACCTCATATCTCCTTTCATTTTCCATGAACTATCTCCATAACTTCACAAGGAATTAATACCTAAACTTGAGATGGAAAAGAATCTATCTTTTGTTATAGTTTGGACATCACATAATTGATATGAGAGGAATAATAGTGATTCTGAATTCCATTTGTCAAGTGCAATCCTCCATGTTCCAGATATACATGAGTGAAAAATTTTAATTTTAATTTTCATATATGGAATGCTCGAGGAAACTGACTATATACCCATTATATGGGCATACATGCATTTTTCTTTTACTATAGTATGAATCTTGATGTAAATAATGGAGGGTGTCCCTTTTTTTTATTCCTAATCTTATTTTATCTTTCTAGAATATTTTATCTAAACTTTAAGTGAAGAATCCAAGTGTTCATAACTGCAAGACTGGTTACCCAGTGATAGACATGATTGAGAAGAAAATGACAATTATAGCATGTTCAGATAAGTTATTCAAGTCAAGCGAACACTCATATTATTAACTTGTGAGACAATATTTTAAGATAAACATGTACTGACAATTTCAAAGACAAGAATTTAAAACAGTGAAGGCAAGTGAGTGTTCTTATTTAAATATTGTTTGACATGTCAATATATTTTTTTTTGGTTGTGCTGGTTGATCTTGGTTGAATCCTTTTCTTCTCCATCTTCTTCTTTTTCTTTCTCTTTTTCGATTCTCTTTTATTTCCTTCCCTTCCTAGTCCCGGTTAGGGTGGTTGGGTTCTCTTTCCTCCTCTTCTCTTCCTTGACCTGGATGGGCATTTCCTTCTTCTCTCTCCTTTTCCTCTCATTCTGGACGCTGGGCATCTCCCTCCCAACCCTTTTCTTTTCCTTCAATTCTAAATGTTATTACGTGGCAGTAGTGTTTGCTTTTTAAATTATTTTTTATTTGAAAAATTATTAAATTGATGTTTTAAATGTTTTAAATAATTTTGATGTATTGATGTTAAAAATAAAAAAAATTATTTTAATACATTTTCAATTAAAAAATATTTTTTAAAAGCATCATTTACAATGTCACCAAACATACTTTTCTCAGCTCAATCAACAAATCATGCAAAATCTTCACAGATTTAAACTAGAGATTGAGAGGCATATGTAGATTCTCATTCAACAAAAAGAAGAAAGAAGAAAGTAAAAAGAACATTTTTTTTCCCGCATGACCGTCCAACTTGCTAGGATTGCAAGATTAAGATTAATTCTACTTGCTTTGAATCTTCCAACCATGTTTTTTCAGGTGGCCATGATGTCTCACTTACATTTATTTGTTTACAAGAATATAATTAATTATTAGGGCCAAGTATTCCCTGGGTCAATGGTCCGCAGAC